GCAAATGAGTTATCCTAGTGTGTTATGCTAATGAGTTCCTGCACCTCTTTTTCTACGAAATGACCCCTGTCTTGATCTATCTCAAGAAGTGAGCAGTGGCTCGTGGAAGCTCCTCCCCTGCCCCAAATTTGGGTAGTCCTTAAGGTGCTGCTGGGCTCTTGCTCTTTTCTACAGCTGGGATAATGGTCCGTATTATGGTGCATTTACCTAAAGTTTTTTTTCTTCCTTAGGCACCTTCTTATCATTCTGCAGCAGTGTGAGGAATGCACGCACACACCCCTCATGCTAGTTAGGCAAGCCGGGTCTGTTTTCCTGTGCTGGATTTTAAAAATGGGCCATTGACTCTCCTGGACACCAAGACAGGGACCCCTGTGCCGGTTGTCATGTGGGTGTGTTATGTGCCACCAAGCTGCTTCTGACTTAAAGGACCTCTAAAACCATCGTCAACAGCCTTGCTGGGGTCTTGCAAACGGGTTGCCTTAGCGATCCAGGAATCCCCCCTCTCCTTTGAAGTAAAGGCAACCTACAGTCTTGCTGGCCCTAGTGATCCCAGGGCCCCACTGTGATTGGCCACAGGCCACTGTGATGTCATAGCTCACCCTGTGACCTTTCAAGGGACAGGGTCACTTAACAAGAGTGCCAGTAAAAGAGGAGCTACTCATGGTGGTAACAGCTGCCCAAAAGGGAGATGTAGGAGGGACTGAGGGGCACTTTGCATCCCTCAACCACTTTTCACACACACACACACACACACACACACACACACACCTGTTCAGGGGTGAACATTTGGGTTCCTTCAAACGGGGGGGGGGGGAAGATTCACAACAGGTGCCTCTGAACTCCTCCCTCCAGGAAAATATTTCGTGTTTACACTGCAGAAACACTGCTGAGCAGGTGCACAGTGGTAAAGCGCATAGCCTAACTACTTTAGATTATTGCAGTAATCCATTTTGAAAACACAGGGAGAGACAATGTGGGGACTTGGACTGAGCCACCACCCAGTACAAATTTGATTCTTGACTTTTAGCAGTCCATTTACAAATGTGTATTGATTCGTTAAGACAAAGCTGTTGTTAAACTGCAGTTCTCAAGCTCATATAACCTTTGCTGGTCTGTGGAACTGTCATAGGAACATAAGAGAAGCCAATGTTGGATCAGGCCAATGGCCCACCAAGTCCGACACTCTGTATCACACAGTGGCCAAAAATACCAGGTGCCATCAGGAGGTCACGCAGTGAGGCCGTGACACTAGAAGCCATCCCTTGCCCCAGACTGAGAGTTCCTATCTATACCTTGTGGCTAATAGCCACCAGTGTTCCCTCTAAGCTGAGTTAGTGTGAGCTAGCTCACAGTTTTTTAGCCTCCAGCTCACACAGTTTTGTCTTAGCTCAGGAAGGATGGCTCCAGAGCAAACTAATTTATGCAGTAGCCAAATTGCTCACTCACAACTTGAATGCCAGGCGCTCATAAAGTAGAATTTTTACTCATAAGACTCTACAGCTTAGAAGGAGCATTGATAGCTACCGATGGACCTCTGCTCCAGATGTTTATCTAATTCCCTCTTGAAGCCGTCCATGCTTGTAGCCGTCACCACTTCCTGTGGCAGTGAATTCCATGTGTTAATCACTCTTTGGGTGAAGAAGTACTTCCTTTTATCTGTTCTAACCCGACCGCTCAGCAATTTCACTGAGTGCCCACGAGTTCTTGTATTGTGAGAAAGGGAGAAAAGTACCTCTTTCTCTACCTGCTCTGTCCCATGCATAATCTTATACACCTCGATCATGTCACCCCTCAGTCATCGTTTCTCCAAGCTAAAGAGCCCTAGGTGCTTTAAAGAGTCAGCCAAAGTCTTTGTACTGAACCATTTTAGCCAAAACGATGAGCTGTCCATGAATGATGCCCCGGCACTGCAAGTGTCGCTCCTACCTGGGAGTCACTGAATCATCAAGGCCGAAGAGCGAGTTAAATGTCTGGCTCCTTGGTTTCCACTGGGGCCCATGCCAATCAACACTTCCTGCTGGGTCATCATTTTGACAAACCGTCTTGTTTGAACAGAAGCTGTTGCTTCCATGACTTGTTGGTGGAATTTTGGTCTGAATGTTCTTACTCAGCAAATACATTACTAAGATGTCAAGAAAGCTCAGAATGTGACAAAAGAAACCGCCAGAACCAAAGAGCTTAGGCTAAATCTACCCCCCCCCGGTCACTTCTGCTGACTCTCAATAACGTTTCTGCCTCATCCAGACTCGCGCAATGACACATGTGCAGAATTCGCCTGCCAAAGCTTGGCACAGAAACCAGTTCAGCCACGATAGTTACTGGGCACGGGGAAGAAGCGAAGCCTTTCCACAGGAATACAGACACTGGGTCAGACAGCTACTTATTTCTGCTCTTTAACTGACCCCCATCAAAGAAGGGCATTTATGTCAGCCAGATTTAACGCATTGCCATCGGCCATCTTCTCTGGAAGATGCCATAAAATCCCTTATGAACTTACACAATGCCCTTGTAGTCAGGGTGTCATCGAATCCATTTCCCACGTTCTTTTAAATTGTCCATTTTATACTAAGACCCGGGATAAATTTCTGGACACCCTTCTTTTTACATGGCGTGGTCTCCCTGAGAGTGTCAAGGTCCAGTTGCTACTCTTGGGGGCAAAACCCTTCTATAGCTTTTAATGTTGCCTGTTTTCTTCGATCTGCAATTCGAATCAGGGAAACTATAAACTGATTGGTTCTTTTTGTTATTGTTGTCTGTACGACAGCCACACTTTTGATGTATTCCTAAATTTTAATGTACTTTTATCTCTGATATGCCAATAAAGGTTGTCTGTCTGTCACCGGAATACATTGAAAATATTCGATACAGTTGTCCTGAGCTAGCTCCCGAGTATTGTAACAGCAGCAAAAGCACTGCAAAGGATGCTGAAGCTCTTCCAACCACACTGCATCTTCCTTACCCTCTCCGTTTCCGATCCTGTAGAGCCACTGCTTTTCCTCTCAGGCTATGAAGTCTCTGTTTAAGGGAACTCCCGTTGTTATCAGTTTGATCTCCCAGATTGACAGGTAACCCTACTGCGAAGTGTTTGGCTTTCACTTGGGGCGACAGGCCCACCCCGCAGAGGATGAAGTGTGAGAACAGCAGCATGTTGAGTAGTTGACAATTCTTAGGATTTCCTAACTCCATCCGATACCAGTTTATCCTTGTCTGGATTCTTGGCTTGGATCTTGTAGTATGGCTCAATGTGGAAGGTGCTTCTATCTGAAGAACAGAACTTCCCCCTCTTCCTCTTTGGCCACCTTAAAGATTAAGGTGAACTGCTACTCACGGGGGGGGGGGCAGAATCCACAACATTTCTCTTCTCCTTCAGTTAGTGGGGACTTGTGGCTCAGTGGTGGAGCATCTGCCTGGCATTCAGAAGGTCCTAGCGGTAGGTAACCAGGCAGACCTCCACCTAAGACCCCAGGGGGGGGGGCAGAATCCACAACATTTCTCTTCTCCTTCAGTTAGTGGGGACTTGTGGCTCAGTGGTGGAGCATCTGCCTGGCATTCAGAAGGTCCTAGCGGTAGGTAACCAGGCAGACCTCCACCTAAGACCCCAGAGAGCTGCTGTGAGTCTGAGTAGGCAATACTGAGCTCTATGAACCAATGGTCTGATTCAGTATAAGGCAGACTCATGTGGCCTTAACCTGTATATACAGGCTACGGCCGATCCACCTAAAAAACGGAAGAGGACCTGGAAGAGATCTTATGTCTTTCGTTGCTGAGTGTTTTGTCTAAACCAGCACAAAACCCTGAGATCCCACAGGAAGGTCCCAATTCAAATAGGGCTTTAGGAATAAGAAAAGACTCTCTCATACACATTTACACTTGCGTAGTATGGTGCGTCTTAGAACAGAATCATATAATGTTAGAGCTGGAAGGGACCTTGCAGGTCGTCAAGTCCAACCCCCTGCACTCTGCAGGAGCATAGCCGAAAGATAGCCCTACAACATACCCGAAAGATGGTCGTCCAGCCTCCGCTTGAAAATGTCCAGTGAAGGAGTATCCACCACCTCCCGAGGCAATCTGTTCCACTGCTCAACCACTCTTACAGTTAGGACGTTTCTCCTGAGACTTAGCCGGTATTGACTCCGTTGTAACTTCCACCCATTAGATCTAGTCTTGCAGTCGGGACCAAGAGAGAATAGATCTGCTCCATCTGCTACCTGACAGCCCTTCAAATATTTGAAGACTGCAATCATGTCCCCTCTAAGCCTTCTCTTTCCCAGGTTAAACATACCCAACTTTCAGCCTTTCCTCATAAGACTTGGATTCCAACCCTCTCACCATCCTGGTTGCCCTCTTCTGGACACGCTCGAGCTTGTCAACATCCTTTCTAAAACGTGGTGCCCAAAACTGGACACAGGACTCCAGGTGAGGCCTGACCATAGCAGGATAGAGCGGAACTACCACCTCCCGTGATCTGGACACGATGCTTCTGTTAATGCATCTTAAGATTGCATTAGCTTTCTTCGCAGTCACATTGCACTGCAGGCTCATGTTTAGCTTGGGTTTGGCAATAAGCATGGGTTGAACAAGGGAGTCTTGTTCAAGACCAAAGGCATGGGTAATCAACGCAGAACATTCCCCAGGAATATTGCAAGAAGCCAGGCTGAATGGCAGTATAAGGGGATGGATGTTGTTTCCTTGGAGGGTACTACTCTGCTGAGCATTCAAAACGTGTTGCCTGTTGCTTCCAAAACTAATCTTCGGTATACTCCCACCAGCCAATAGTCCAAGGGTCAGCAAGTGAAGAGAGAAGGTCACCGTGAGCTGGACACGGCTCTGATCTCCTCTAGTTTCCTCTGGTTCTGGACAGTACTGTGGGTGGGGGGACGGAAGCTCTTAGCTGACGTTCAAGTTGGAAGTTATCTCAATGAAGCTGACTCAAATCTTCACGCTCTTTATGTTTTTATACAAAAAAATTTAATAAATATTTTTCAAGATTTATTGCCAGGAATAACACATCAGAGATGTATTTTCATGTTCATGTGTAACACTAATATTACCATACAAGATAATCTTTTATGATCTCAGTGGATGGCCCATTGAGATAATTAAGTCTTAAGCCTTTTTTTTTAAAAAAATCATTTTTGATCTTCCAACTTCATTAATAGCACTTTGATTTGCTCTTATTTTTTTCTTTCTTTCTTAAGGCGGGCAGTGGACTCTGGCAAACCTACTCAGTGGTCTTACTGAATATTCTACTGTTCAAGTATTCAGCAACTAGCTTATTAGAATACTTCCTAAATACAGTAGATTACAAAAGAAAAAAATCAAACCTACAAGTGGTTCAGTATTACCTATTCATGGTGGGCGGGAAAAATCAAAAGAGTTTACAAAATAAGATTTCGGTGTTTCCAACTTCACACACTAACTTGATATTTTTAATTACATACATCCACTCACATTTCTCATGTTTCATCTACAGAAGGTTATCGCTCCTTTTGTGTTCCCTTAAACTGCTGCGTAGCAGATTTTCTGCCCGTCAATCCTTTCCTTTCCCCCACCCCATGTCCAAAGCAGCCAGAAAAATTTTTAAAAAATAAAAACAGAACAAAAACTAGTCTAAGTTCTAAACTGCCTCAGCCACCAGTACTTACAAAATAGTTTAAAGTGATATTATGGAAGGTGGTTTCTCTTTAAAAAAACAACAACAACAACAACAAAAAACACTTGGACATTGTACAAAAAAGCCAGCATCAAGGCATGAAAGCCCATCCTATTTGTTAAAATAAAAACTTGATTTTCAGAACACCTTAAATTTTGGCATGTAGGCAACAAGTAACCAGGTGGGGGAGAGGTCAAAAGAAGAAGCCGTCAGCTTACAACGCTATGAAAAACCTTCAACTCTAAACACGTATGTATAAATTAAAAAAAAAGGAATGATATTTAAGGCTCTTGATTATTAAGTTAATAAATCAAATATACACAGTGATTAATAAAAAAGAATTATTTACATAACTATACAAACTTCTACTTTTGACACATTTTCCTCTCAATTCTTCATTTTTTTTTACCAGCCACTGCTGACAAGAAGTCCTCCACAGTCCCCTCCCTCTGCCCTCCCCCCCGACAAAAACAATACAATAAAAAAATAAATAATAAACTTTTTTTTGATAGTTGCCGTGGTTCTGAGCTGCAAAGGCACTTCCAAATACAGAACTAGTTATACGTCATCATAAAACCAATATACAAAAGAACTCTAATTCAATAAATAAATAAAACGTATTCGTCTAAGACGGTAATATAAATCATGACATCTCAAGAGAAGGAAGGAAGGGGGGGGGGAGGAAAACAAAACGTGTGTTTTTGCTACAGGAAAAAGCTAAATAAAGCTATACGATAACCTTACGGAACCTTTCCGGGGGGCATTTCTGACTAGTTCTGCAGAGATGTGAAATGCAGCACTTGGTAAACCAGCCAACCACAGCAACTATCACTGCCAGTGTAAGCCAGCTTGTCAAAACTTAAATTAACACAGGGATTCTAAGCAAATAATAGCCTTAGACTCGAAAATATTACACAACCGTTTTAAGAACTACAAGCTCCGAGTTGCCTTGAATTGATCGGTTAAAGGCCCTGCACAGCAGCACCTGCGGTCTGCTATACAATGTACTCCATTCGGTTTAAACTTTGTGCGCTTTCCAAGTCCCGGTTGTCCTGTTTGTTTGTCCAGTTCGGGTGTTTTGTGGGCGTGCCGTTGGGGGGCTTTTCGTCTCTGTCTACCAGCGTGTATGCTGCTTGTTTCGCAAAGCGGGTTTTCTGCTGGTGTTTATCCATGTCGTCTTCCTCCACCTCAGAGTTGTGTGTCCTTATTTTGGCAATTTTTGTGTTCTTGTTTTCATAGTCTTTGATGGGGACGGCGTTAGCGCCGTGTTTCTCGATGGGGTTCTTGATCTGATTCAGCTGCTCCCTCACGTTGTTGGTGGTGTTGTCGTCTGACGCCGTGTGGGTGTGGGCGCTCTGCTTCCGGCGCTTCCGGAGGCACCAGTAAAAGGCGGTGACCAGGCAGCAGACCCAAGCCACCGTTAGCACAGAGCTCAGCAACGGCACCAAGAAATCTGGAACGCAAGTTGGACTCTCGTTAAATACTTCCAAAGCTATTCAAGCAGCAGCATTTTAGGGAAACGGATGCCCTGGCCCATCCCCACCTGACGCCTTTTAGCCCTTTATCTTTTTAGAAGCACCTTAACAAGGTTGAACAGAAATACGACTGTTTGAAATAAAAAGGGGACAATCCTCCGTGACTCTGACAGCCTCCCGGTATCTGCACAATAGATTCATGACCGACCAGGTGGAATCATAAACCTGAAGCGTGGCAGGATCTCTCTCGTCCCGAGGCTGACTGCCTCCACAACCCAGATTTCTGATGTCAGCCTTTCTGCTTCAGGACTGCCCTTATGGGCACCCTACAAAGGCAAGAGCCCTTTTCAAACGCCCTTTAGGAAACAGAGGGGGAACGGCAAGTCTTCTCCCAACTAGGCCCGAAAGCTCATTTTCACAAGCCAAGGCCCTATTTGAAAACCTAATCCACTCTAACTCTCCGGAGTTGTGAGGAAAGGAAGTGTATTTCCCCTTCTTGTGGCAACATATTTCAGTCTTATGCTCCGACAAGAACCAAGCCATTTTCATGAGGCCAAACCAATGGAAGATTTGATACTTACATTAAGCTGGGGAACAGGGACCAGAGTACCTACGGGACCGCCTCTCCCGGTATTTCCCCCAGACAGCATGACGCTCAGGAGATCAACACCCACGGGAAGTCCCTGGCCCAAAGAGCCCCCAGCTGCCCTCAACCAGAGACAAGGCCTTCTTGGTCTTGGCTCCGAGTCAGTGGAACTCCCTCTGCCTACCAACATCAGGGCCCGGAGGGATTTGCTACAATTCCGCAACGCCTGCAAGGCAGACATGTTCTGCCAAGCAAACGGTTGAGGACAGCGATGTTTTTTTAACAAGCTGCTTCTTATCTCCCCCATGCTAATATAAACTGGGGGCTCAAAATTTTATATTATTGGCACCATGTAGATAAGATACCAGGATCTGGCTCTCGATTTAGCATTTTTAGAATGTTTTAACATATTCCCTATGAATTTATTGTATGGATTTGTATGAATCTGTTGTACACCGCCCTGAGCCCGCTTCGCTGGGAGGGCGGTATAGAAGCCAAATGAGATAAATTAAATAATAAAACAATCAATTAAAGCAATTCGTTACAGCTTGAATGGGCATCTTCCGACATTAGGAACTAATCAGTTTGGATCCAAAGATGTCTTTGCACAAGTCGAAAGCGCTTCCACTCATAAAGTAAAGGTAAAGGTTCCCTTGCTCGAAAGCCAGTCGAATACGACTCTAGGGTTGCGGTCCTCATCTCCGTTTCAAAGCCGAAGAGCCAGCGCTGTCCGAAGACGTTTCCGTGGTCATGTGGCCGGCATGACTAAACACCAAGGTGCACGGAACACTGTTACCTTCCCACCGAAGTGGTACCTACTTATCTACTTGCAATTTCTTGCTTTCGAACTGCTAGGTTGGCAGGAGCTGGAACTAGAGATGGGAGCTCACTCCATCATGCGACACCCGGGTCTCGAACTGCTGAACTACCGACCTTCCACAGCCTGCAGTTCAGCGTCTAAATCACTTGAGCCACCACAGCTCCTGCTTTCGCTCATGCCAGGGGGCAAAACATGAAATTTCTAAAGACCTTTCCACTCAGGCTTGAACACGCATACCCCTTCCGTCCCATGTTGATACGGGTAGCCCCCCAACTCTCAGCAGTAGCTGGGGTGGGGATGACACGGCAGCACGGCAGAATGTAAGCACCCAGCTGGATCAGACCAGTGGTTCATCTAGCCCAGCATACTGTTTCACACAATGGCCAACCAGTGGACCTGGAGGGCCAAAAAATAGGACACACGGAGGCCAAGGCCTTGCCACTGGTGTTGCCTCCCTAGCACTCGTATTCAGAGGTTTACTTTGTCTGAATGTCGGTGCTCTTCTTTAGTCACTATGGCTAGTAGTCACTGATAGACCTGTCCTCCGTGAACCTCTCTAATCCCCTTCTAGGACCGTATTTCAAAGAGTTACAAAAACCCAGTCTGTGTGTGGACAGCCTGCTCATGGGTCTTAGTACCTAGCAGCGAACAAGACTGTTTTAGGGCAAATTTGATATACACAGAACGTTCTTTCTTTTTTAACAAGGAAAAAGTGGATACAGACATTCAGTCCTCTTTTAAGACTTACCTGTTTTGCTTTTTACTGGCCGCTTTTGTACCCGGACCTCTGCAACTGCTGCAAAAAGTGTGCTGTTCCCATCACGCTTGCTAACAAGATCGATAATTTTATCAGTTATTTCTTTTATTGGGTTCTCTTCCTCCTGGATATCTTCGGCAGACTGGGGAGGGGAGAGAGTGTGGTTGAATAATGAGGTGAGTTGGTTCTTGAGACATCTCTTAAGTCATCATGTGCAACAGGAGTAAATAATTTCTCAGAAGGATATAAAACACATCCTACTATTTGGCCAAAATATGGGAAACCACTCACTTCTCCCAATGCGGTAGAAAAGAGGAGGAGATTGGATTTATACCCCGCCCTTCACTTGGGAGTCTCAGCGGCTTACAAACTCTTTTCCCTTCCCCTCCCCACAACAGACACCCTGGGAGGTGGGTGGAGCTGAGAGAGTTCCTTCGAGAACAGCTCTGACAGAACTATAGCTTGCCCAAGGTCATCCAGCAGGTGCAAGTGGAGGAGTGGGGAATCAAACCCATTTCTCCCAGATTAGAGTTCGCACACTTAACCACTACACACCGTGTGTGTGCAGAATTAAGCTTTGTTGTTCTTAAATGTGTCACTGGACTCAAACTTTGTTCTACTGCTACAAACAGACTAACATGGCTACCCATCTTGATCTATTACCAGTGGAAGCAACTACCAGTAACAGCTGTTATTCAGCACCATGTTATGTAAGCAACCCTCCACTTAAAAATAAACACTGGACAAAGAAGCTAGGATTCAAATTAGTATTGGTGCCAGTTACACTCTTATTAAAATGTGTAAACGTGCCTTTATTTTTGTTAGTACACTGGAGGTGGCTAACAAGAAACGTCATAGAAGGAATTATATTGAACCAATGGAAATTACAGCACTGAGGGCTGGAACGCTCTCGGTGTCCGGAAGTTGGCATTGCTGAGTGAGGGAAAGTCTTGATCCTCTACGGTTCTGACTGTGTCAAGCTGAGCAATTTAACTAGCTAGCCAAGGTACCGGAAGACTTACAATTGCAACATGGATTTCATTGTTTGCCAAGTGGGACGGTTCACAGGTGATGTAGATGGAATACTCAACAGAGACATTCTTCAAGATGCTCAGATTCCTCAACTCGCTACAGATGTGCTCTGTACTAAGGCCCTACAGGGAAAAGACAAAAAAATATATATATCTATGAGAACTGGGGAGGGTTTGCTGTTCTTTTTATCATCTGATCTATTCTCACTACCAAACGGACCTGGCTGGAGCTGGGCAGAACATCAACTCCATTAAGAACATAAGAGAAGCCATGTTGGATCAGGCCAATGGCCATCCAGTCCAACACTCTGTGTCACACAGTGGCCATAAATACCAGGTGCCATCGGGGTCCACCAGAGGGGGCAGAACTCCAGAGGCCCTCCCACTGTTACCCCTTCCCAGTATCAAGAAGACAGAGCATCACCGCCCCAGACGTAAGAACAGAAGAGAAGCCCATGTTGGATCACACAAATGGCCCATCCAGTCCAGCACTCTGTGTGACACAGTGGCCATAAACCATGGGCCATCAGGCGGTCCACCAGCAGGGTCAGGACTCCAGAAGCCCCCCCCCCACTGTTGCCCCCCCCAAGCACCAAGAATACAGAACCTCACTGCCCCAGACAGAGTCTTCCATCTGTCTCTTGTGGCTAATCGCCAATGATGAACCTCTGCGCCATATGTTTATCCAATCCCCTCTTGAAGCTGTCTACATTACAGCAGAAACCATAATATACAATCTGGGATGACTTGAGGACCATTTCACACAGTGCAGATTGGTTGCCCAGCTTACCGTCTCAATAGGGAAATCCAGCCGTGGAAGGCTGCCTGACAAATGTACCTACATTTTAGGTGGGCATCACGCAATCTGCAAAGCTACCTAAAGTATGCATGTAGAAAAGCCAGGTTTCGTTCTTTGTTTATCCTTTAAAATTCATTGGTAGCCTTGCCCAGGAATTTAAGCCTCCTCATCTACCATGTCTCCTAATAGTGATGCAAGGACATAGTGAAGTAGCCCCACATATGCCACCCTGAGCAACCCTGAGGGACGAACGTTCCCGCAAACACAGTGAAGAAAGACATTTTAGGGTTGGATTCGGACTTTTGACACAGGTGAGTAGAAAAGCGCAAGAGTCCAGTAGCACCTTAAAGACTGACAAAATTTGTGGCAGGGTAAGCTTTCGTGAGTCACTGCTCACTTCTACAGATACCTGAGGTGAGCAGTGACTCACGAACGTTCCGCCCCACCCACAAATTGTGTTAGTCTTTCAGGTGCTCATGGACTCTTTCTCTTTTCTACTGCTACAGACTAACACAGCTACCCATCTTGATACGTCAGGTTGTACTTATTGTACACACTAATTTCACCAACGACTCCAGTTAGTAATTCTGAACTGGTCAGCTGCTCTCTTTATAAATTATAGGCAAGAGGAGACCTACGTACCGGAGTCATCATCTCTTTGTTAAAGGTGAACGTGATGTTAGCACAATTGTCCTGATAGTACGAATCAGAACTGCACGTCTTCTTTCCCGGCTGTTGACTGGAAAGCCAGCATTCACCCACATTATGGCAAGGGTGCACAAAGCAGTTGTCTTCCTTAATAGGGACGCAGGTGTGTCCTGCAGGACATTCACTGTGGCCTTTGGCATTGATCAGACAAGGCTTCGGACCACACCAGACCTAGGAAGGGTCAAACAATCAATTGGCAACCGGGCTTTTGCACAGAAAAGGAGAAAAATGGCAGCTAGAAGAGTGAAAACGGTACCTTAGAACAGGTGACCTTTCCATTTGAACACTGGCAGCTATTGCATTCATCATCCCATTTAGACCCATCTGGAACAGTACGGCCATTAGCGATGCAAGGCCTTCCTGAAACTAAGAGTGGGGGGGGGGAGGAAAGAACATATTGAAGAGGGATTTATTCAGAAAGACACCTGAATCTCACAGAGGAGAGGAATGGAGGCACACCTTATGTCTCACAAATACTGGGAAAGCAGAAGGGAACCTAAAAATATCCTTCCATGAGTCTTTCCTTCAGGGGTTGGCTTTTCCACAGATATGGACCAATGCTACCTCCCTCCCCCTTCCTATTTTTCACTCATGGTATTTTCTGGGGAAAGACTACAGTCTGGAGGGCACAAATAAGGGGTGGATTTCTGGACTCCCACCGCCACCCGTTGTCCATCATACATTACCACAACAACTACATCTCTATATAACTTTATCATGTATGGACTACCTTCTTGGCATCTTGGACCGCTGCGGCCAGGTGGACAGATACAACGGTATCCATTGATTTCATCTACACACGTGGCTCCAAAAGCACAGGGTGAAGACTGGCACTCATTAATATCTGCAGGGGGGAGGGAAAACCATATGATTCATTGTGATAGGCTACAGAGACTGCTGTGGAACTTGCTCAAGGTTTTTAAAATACTGAGGGACCGAGGCGAATGACTTGTGCAGAATCCTCCCAACTGCAAGGTCACATACAGTGGT